CTTATCTTGTGCAAGATACTAGGGAAATAAAAAAGGAAAGGTCATTAACCTAACTATCACAAACGAACTGCTTATCTATTTTTGTTATAAATTAATTATTTTCAATACTCAACTTTTGAGCAAACAAGCATTGATAAAAATCTTAAATCGATATGAAGTATTGAGTTTTTATTAAAATTAATTCATACATAATCTCAAGACAAGTATGGTTAGTGGAAACAATCCTCTGAAACAGCGAAACAAGTCCACAATGGCGGGCGGTAAGCGAATCCAGGTTTATGCCTACTTATTGAAAGCTAGTGGCTGTTACTTGTACAAGAAGCGGAGAGTTTTGCACAGGTTTTGTTCTCAATACAGCTTAGCACTTTGAGCGGACGAAAGCCTATAAGTAGATGTTTAACTTATAACTTGAAGCAATACCCCGTCTTTGTGTTCACGTTTTAATATGTTTTACTTGCTGGAAATCCAGAATATGACGTCATCTATGGCCAATATCAATTTTTAATCACAATTTTTGTATGCCGTTATATATCATAACTTATTAATATTATAAATGAGAATGTTTAGATGGATATTTGTTACAAGGTAATATCTCCACGCTCAACTGATCTCGATAAAATTTGGTTTTTATATAGAACGAAGTCTCAAAGAGCATATGGGCCACCTAATCATTTTTTTTTATTCATTTAGTCATTAGATAAATTGATTATTATCGGATCGATCTCTGGGATCGAATATTGAAATTATTCTGAACTTGGTGTTCTAACTGCAGATGTGTAGCCAGAAATACAAAAAAACTTCTATGTACACCAAAAACAACTTTATTCAAACTTACTTACATTACAATTTACAATAAATAACGGAAATCTATGTCAATCATATCGCGACTCCAATACGCTTCCTTTTCTTCTCTTTTTCGTCTTTTTAATAACCAAACCACAACAACCAAAACAACTCTTTGGCTATATTCACACTTCTTGTCAGCCAAAGAGATTTTGCACTGAACACTTGGTACTTTTTAAATGATTCATATTTTATATGACAGTTATGTGGTTAGGTGATTGTAGTGGCTATTGCGCGTGGTGTTTATTGTGACAATAGAAAACACAATAGCAAAAGGATTGCATCACAACACTTATAGTGGTTTTGTTTTTATTAGACAAAAAACAAACAAATGACTGAATTCTTTATACTTAAAATGGGATAGCTAATAATTAAAGTAAGAAACTCAAAATTTAATAGCATTTGAAAGAAAAATAAATCTTAGTCATCATCAACTTGCCCTTATCCCTTATGGAGGGTCGGCACAGTATGTGAGCAGCCATACACCTCTATCAATCGTCATATCTGAAACCACTCCTTTCTTAAGCAAATCTTAGTATTTGTATGGAAATAAAAAAACATTTTCATCGTAATCAATTTTGTACTATGATAAATAAATAAATTAACGATTACTAAATAAAAACGATACAGTTTTATTTAGACATCTCTTTTTAATTGACGCTTCAAAAACATTTAACAAAAACCGAAAGACAAAAAGAGCAAAATTAAACAGATATACTTTTCACAAAACAAGGAAATGAAAACATTAATATAAGATTATAAATACACAACGTAAATACGATTATCTTCATCTGTTTGTACAAATTTCCTTATTGCCCGGGGCTAGAGACAAAAACATTTTCATGTAACAGAAAATTAAATACACTGGTACCTTATTAATACTGGATAGCTGTATTAGTGACGGGAATAGCCCTATTTATGCCGTCTACTAGGATAAAAAAATGTAGATTATCTATAGAACAGAAACTAAATTTTGCCTTAATTAAGAGCGGGCACACACCTGAAACTAAATCGCATAACTGTTTAGTTGCGCTTTGATGCCTATGAGCTTATATGGAGGTGCGCACACTACTCGATTTTTAGTTGTGCAAATAAACAGTTGGATTGGCTCCGAAACATTCGACAATCGCACAACAGTTGTGCGATAGTTTACTCAAAAGTGTGTGCTCGAGATCGGACATATAGATATATGTCAGATGATGTAGCTACATGATGACATAGAACCAGCACGTAAATTATTCTTAAACTTGTAATATTACATCCTCATTTATCTAAGAAATGCCAGTTCCACACGAGGGCTACTGTGAGACAGGGCAATAGCTGGCGCAGTATCTGATACACTTCTACCTTCGTGTGAAACAACCATGTTAGAAAGCGTACCTTATCGTAACAAATACATTCCAGGGTTGATACGTAGGCGCGACCGCCCGAAGCAAAAACGTCAACACAAAGCGTACCTTACATAAATTATGAGGAAGATATTACAGAAGACATAACCAACTAAACGCGGGCAAATTAATTACATACGCAAATATTAAAGCTACATTTAATCCAATACCATTAATAATTGTTTATTCTCCTTGAAAATATTTTTTATTTTTGCCCACGGGTTACATCGATGGCTCCTACGTAAAATAACGTACGAGCTGTTGCAGTTTTTACCTTTTGCTTAACATATATACGAATAAAACATTTAGCTGAGTTTTTAACTTTACTCGGATATATGAATAGTAGTGGAGTCCCACAACTACGTCTCTTCTATTACCGGACATATAAGTGTAAAAACATGCTAGTAGAAGAGAAGACACATTACTATATCTTTGTAATAAGACAACGAAACAAAACTTTTTAGATGTCTTTAGAAATATTGCTTGGTTTCTTGCTACAGAACACTTTTTATTAGAATAACTTTCTACAGTGTTGACGAAGGTTTCTAGATATTAAATAATTGTTATTTAATTTATGAATCATACGAGAAACATTAATTAAAGCAAAACTTAAATCACTTACGTAAGTTAAATAACATTGAAAATAAAATATAATAAAATCAGGTTAAAATTATTAACAAAAACAAAACTGAAGGATCTTATCTTAAAGTTAACATTAGAGAGTTGTTTTAGGTTAATTACAGAATAATCTCAAACAGATAGTATATTATGTTAATTATTAAGGACAGAGAGATATAAAAGCATTTCTGTAGAGTATTACAAATGAAGGTTAATTAACTTGTCTCTCAATGTGTGTTTCTGTTAATAGTCAGACGCTAATGACTTACTCCATTGTTAAAAATATGCAGGGAAAATAACGAGTACTGTAAAACCCGGCGATTTAAGTCGCTTAGCGACTTACTTATCGCTTAGCAACTTAAATCGCCGGGAATGAAATGTTATAAAGGTTGGTACAGTCATGCGTCGGCGACATTTCTATCTGTCATCGCCAAAGCATGTCTGTCGCTATATGTTTGTGAAGATCGTCGTGAGAAAAGTCGCTGCGATTTTTATAGGATACTTAATTAGTTTAGTTTAAAATATTTACGTTATTAGATTTAACGCGATATAAATATTAAATAAATATTCATGTAATATGCTTGGAAGAGCATATATAGGAACATGCTGTGCCGGCCCCCGTAGGAACAAGGGCTGGTTGATTATGAAATATTTATGTAATAAATGCTTTATTACTTTGTTGTGGGATATAGTTGGTGTATATCGTATGTTTGAACGTTGTTACTAGGATATTGGTATACATTGTGGTTTAATTCGAACTAACAATGGCTACGTCGTGCGCACGGTTACCTTTCACTGAGGCAACCTCATCGTCGATCTGTTATTGTAACCCAACTACAAGAGCTGGCCACCTAACCTATCATTTAGTATACTTATAAGAATTAATGCTTTGTTTAGGAATTTGCTATTGAAATTTATTACTTAGAAACATGATCTGATGTTTTCTGTACTAGATTTGTATTTACCACGAAAAGTTACTTCGAATTAAGTAATAAATATACGTATGAGTTTTGTAACGTAATATAGTAGTGGCCAAGGGCAGTAAACGGTTTGCATTTTTTTTTATCATGACAAACTTTTCTTCTATTACGTTTTTTACACTTATTTAGTATTGTTTGCAATTGGTCAAGTAACGCCGTTTTTAAATTCCTTAATGACATAGTATCTATTTACTACTATAAGCTTCCTATTTTACCTACGCTTAGGATCTCAGAAATCGACAAGAGGTGAATGCCTCGAAAAATATTACAAGATATTGTAAATAAGACGAATGGAATAAATTTGTTCTGCGAGAAATAAATCCATCGTTAAAAGTCGTCGTAGCATAACAAACTTTCTCAACAATATTAAACTTCAAAGCAACAAAAATAAGAATTTCGAAAACTTCATAGTTGTATCCAACATCGCGACGAAATGCGTACATAATTTAATAATGCTATGTTTTTATAATTTTTAAACTTTAACATAAGTAATATAAGTAGAAAAAGGATCGATGTACCTATTTCGATATAAATACTCGTTATAATTAAAATACGATCATAGAAAAATACCACGTGTAAGACGTATCTTAAACATTCATATTTATTTTTACTTAAATAGATTGCCGTCATGAATACTGAATGTTTTGCAGCTAATTGCTCCGTATATGATAACCACAATTATATTTTTACTTTATTCGTTATGTATTCTTGTTGCTGACTAATATCATATCTTATAACGTTTCGTGGTATCACAAGATTGTGAAAGGTACTCATTGATGTATACTTGGAAGGAAATGAACACTTATCGCGGAAACAAATGTGAACGTAATACAGAGACCCGGACATGTAACGAGATATCTATTACTGTTTCACTCTTGAGAAAGTCAATAGATATATTATCTTGTTTATGAATTTCTAATAATTATGACCTCATGTTAAAAATGCCGAACTCTTTATGGGCTATTCCGAGTAGCAAACAATAGACCGTAGAACAAACGAACAAAGAGCGGGCGACAAACTTAGGGCAGGGCAATGCGCGTGCACAGGTAAGAAAACTCATAGCCATCTTTACTGCTGCCTACCTTTAGTGTATTGGGACGACGCCACCGCGAGCGAGCCGAGCAACAGCGCGGCGAGGAAGCCCCTCTCTCCCCCGCGCGCCAACATTTTCTTTATCAACTTCATAACAACTTCAAACACCTCACAAAAGTAACAACTTGTCACAAGCCTCGAGGGTGCACTCAAAAAGTTTTGGGATTACACTAAACAAGCACACTATCACAGAATTCAAACGCACATCCATTTGAAAAATGTCCGTTTATCCGATAAAGGTAACCGCTTCGCACGAGTCGTGGGACGAAGCATACAGGTAAAGTGAGTAAGCCTATTAAGTTTCGATAACTTAAAACTACTTATTTAAGGTGTTCTAAGTTAACTAAAAACTATAGACTACGTCCGTTGCGGAAGTTCTGCCTAGTTTAAGGTTTGAAAACTTCACATATTTTCGTAAAATAACTTCGAAGTACGGAGTGAACAACAACGCAACGGGAGACACAACCGCCTCGCGCATCGTTCGCGGCAGACTGGCGTGAAGTGAGCGAACAATCAACAAGTTGCGATCGCGCGAGGCGAGCCGGTCCGTTGCAGGTCGAGCATGCGCTATCCGCGGCTATCTTCATACTCGACTAGCGCAACAATGTGGTTCTGCTGCGATCTTGCTGCGTCCCCTTTGCCCACCACGGTTGGCGAACGCGAATCTTTCAAACCTGTTTGTTTTCGCGCAAAACACAACTATCCAGGATTACTTCAGAACTAACACAAGTTAAGTAAAACTAAAACTAGTTCACGGCGTAAATCTGAATTATTAACTCACATATACCCACATATTGGAAACGTTGTAATTTCGTAACATAATCCTAAAACTTATTTTTTACCTAGGTGTGTTATTTGTTTTTAACCGACTTTCCAAGAGAAGGTTATTAAGTTAAATTATATACTATCTGATTATCATCCTTTAAATTTGATTTATTTTGTTTTTGAAGTTGACAAATTAAACATGCATTTATTTACTTAAATAATTTTATTTTCAGCAACTAACGTAACAGGCTTGTGACTGCATTAACACATGATCTCGACAACTTGAACTTACTTCTGGCGCGTTTTCATAGCTCTGCAAAATATAATAATCTAAGTATAATTTACGTACTTGGATAGGTAAGTATATACATAGAACTTAAATCAAACAAATATGTGTAGTTTGATTTACTTCAGTTTAGTTTTTTACTTACAGAGTATTTGCTATACGCATTATCCAGTCGTGAACGAGTCCTAATTTGTGTGCCGAAGCCGCAGAAGCCTTCATCAGGGAAGCATGGTGACCATTCATACCAATCACTAAACGTGCAATGCTCGCTTCCAAGCTTGGATTCCAGTATTCTCGGCTCTTCTATCGGCTCCCTGTACAAAATGATTCTTCATGTGGGCAGGTACGTTCATTTTTTATTATCAAATTGTCGTACTTACGTCGAGACGCACTAGGTTAGTAATATAGTCGAGTAGCGAGTAATTTAATAAGGTATCTAAACAAAAATAATTCATTCGAGTTGATTATCAAATTATTTAGAGGAGAGTATTTTAGCTACTAAATTCGTCGGTACTCTACTAAATTACTAGCCTAGAACTAGGCCTTAGATAAATTTAATGATTAATAAGGAAGTCTCTTAGTATGTAAAAGTACACTGTTTTAAATAACAAAAGACAAAGTAGAAGTAGGATTAGAAATTCTGATTCGAGGTATTTCTTACTAGTATGACTAAAGCGCCATCTGTACTAAGAAAATCAAACTACCAAACGTCAATAACTACAAATGTATACTTACGACTCTTGTTCATTTTGTACTTGTTCAACTTCTGCTTCTGGAATTAAAAAAAAAACAAAAATAAAGGAATACATAATACCGATAACTTAAACCTCGATAACTTAAAAAATAATATGTTCCCTCCCCACCAGAGCCCAAAAACTCTATAACATAGACCCTTGATAACTTAAAATCTATATAACTTGAAATATTTTGTGTTTCCCTTGCACTTTAACTTATAGATGTTCTACTGAACAATACTTATTGATTACACTTTTGTAAATTACGTCTATTCTTTTTATTAAAAAATGATGAAATACGAGCGTAGTTAAAACGTGTAATTTTAAGTTTATAATAAAACATTGTACCTTGCCCTTCGTCGTTACAGTTTCGCCCTTTTATCGGGTCAACGGACAGGCTCTTGAGGTGTAGGTAGGCGAAGGGCTTCAAATCGTTCAAGTTCATCTGATAGAAGGGCGACTCGCTGTTAAAGGACCCTATTTCCACTCTGTCAATGTTATCCGTCGGGTTCGTTACTGATTTCGGCGACTGTGAAAACGTTCAAATATATTTCCTTTGTTCTTGTAAAACATTGTTATGATATGATTTGTTTTTAATTTTTATTCGATAAAGATAATTTTATATACTCATTAAGTTTCGATAAATTCAACTACACGAAAGAAGCATGACTAAGGAATGGCGGCATGAATGTATTTTGTTTAAATTGCAGGTTAAAAATGTCGGTCCATAACTTTTATATCTATACTAGTAGCGCCATCTAGTTTACATAAGTTTCCACATGAAACTTATAGCTAGTAAAAATTATATCAGTTTTTCTTTATGTATTCTGTATTATTCAGAACTAATTAAATAACAGTTTAAATAAAATATATAAGGGAAAACAATGGTGATAGTGAAGACCTACAAATTTTGTCTGTCAAAGAAATAAAAAATAAAAGTTAATTTTACCTCGTAAGATACGCCATCCATAGTACCCGCATCCCACGGATAGAGTGGCATTTTATATTCCTTCAACCAACCATAACGCGTGCAGAGCTCGAACCTTGAGGCGCCCAGGAACCAATCCGGGGAAGGCTTGATGGCCACAACTACAGAGAACATGTGGTGTATACTATCCGCTCTAAATAACGCGTACGATGGTTCAAACATTTCTGGATGATGACGTCGCTTCCCTCTTATAAGTGTTCTAGTACCGCCAGTTGCCGACATCTACAAATTAATACATTATGCACACTACCATCTACAATAAGATCACGGCGGTAACCCAGAGGGGTACGCAGACATTCTCGTGTTCTATTTTGCGCAACACAATCCGATGAACTTTTTGGTAATACTTTTATTAATAGTTTTTTTTTAAAACGTCATAATTTAAAAAATGAGAAATTTTAGTTTGAATAAAACAAAATGTATTTCAAAGAATTTGTTGACAGATCCACGATTATAGCTTGTAAAGAACATTTTGTGAATATTTTATTCATGAGAACAAAATAGCATTTCATTTGAAAACTTCTGTGAGAACGTTCTGCAAACGAAATGAACTGGACTTTACTTTGTATGGAGTTCAAATCAGGATTCGCAATAAAGTTGCATTTTGTGCGTTTATTTGCGTATATTGTAAGTTCACAAGGAGCAGTAAATGAACTCTAACACAATGGAGTAGAGATGAGATTTGAATGGAAAATGTGATGTCATCGAGGTATCGTATTGAGCTATTGATTTCGTATACTGCACTGCACGCTCCTCTCAATTAGATAGTCTTCTGACTATCCAATGTAAGAACATAAAATACTCAAACTATATTGTTTTCTGCAAGGTACAACAAAGCGACAATATTCAAAAATATACTTGTAAGCTTATAACACTTTAACCTTTGAGTTAAGATACACTTACTTCTAAAAGCATTAAGCATCAACAGATTTGCCATACACGGACTATTTGTAGCTGATAAAAATTCAGCTGCGCTAGTTTGTCGACCACTTGAATCAGTCGATAATGACTGCTTGTAACATTCGGGGTATAGCGACCTTTAGTTGATTCATTCACACTGTAGCGCAGCTTGGTAATAAACAGTTATTTTATACATACGTTATTAATAATGTCTCTTTCAATAATAGTGATATTAGCGTCTTCAGCTAGTAACTTGAGACCAGCACTGGCGGGAGTGCCCAACTGCCACAGGGTATAATCGTAGCCGTGCGACGCGCCCACCATGTGGCTATAGCCGTTCTCGTCCGGCTTACTCGGGTAGTAACGAGGATGGGTTAATCTTGACCAGAGACCTTTAAACACGATCTAAGGAAAATTAGTTACTTAAAGTAATTTTTGTTTAGTTATGTTTTCATTATCCATTCTTGCACTTTCGACAAAAAAAAGTTACATAGAATTGGTGACAGTATTTGATGTTGATTGTTGCCAATTAACACCTATGAAATAATTTGGCTTGTAATTTTCTATTGAAGTATACCTACTTCGTATCTCGCTTCACTGTTTAGTTCACAGTTCTCCACGGGCGGATGTGGTGCGCTGTCTAACGGTCTTCTCGTATCTTTCTTAAGTAAAATTGTCAAATCATCTTCGGTATACCAAGTCTCTTGGTTCTCGGCTACCGTCGCACGGAGTCTTACTATTTCTTTAGGACTGTTTTTCGGCGACACCCAATGTATCTGAAAATTTTTATATGTGTTAAAATTGCGTACGGTCTATTTAAACGAAGGATGATTCAAATGCTCCTTGGCACCGTCGCGCTTACAGTTTACTGGAAGAGAGGTTAGTGTGAAAACAAAAGTTTTTTACTCCTTTTTATCGATCAACGACAACACAATACGATTTAGTATTTGTATATATATCAGCAATAGAAGCCTACAATTATCGTATTGCAACTCATTACCTACCTCAACATATTCCTTGTCAAAGTTATCAGCGCTTTCGACGGAGTTGAAGCATTTCTCACTGTATCTTGACTGCGGGTTGTCAGCGAGTGTTTTCAAACTACCGACATCTACCGGCACTTGCTCGTATTCATTAATGCTGTTGTCCACATCTGGATCTTCCACTGTTATCATGAACCAACGGAATGGACGTGTTTTGTTTGTTGTTTTCAGTATTACTGAAATCATAAGCGAGGATAGCGTTATCGTAGCGTAGAGAGACGGCCCAGAGCGCCGGACATTTATTCAATCAGTGAGGACTATTTAAAAACAAAGAAATTGAATGGATTAATGGATACAAAGCAAAGCATAATAGGCCATGTGAAAAACTGTGACTTATCACGTTTGTGAAATAGGCGTAGGTTAAAGAGCTTTAGAAGACCCCTTTTAGTATTACGCAAAAGGAAAACGATTTCTAAACAAAACTGGTTTAAACACATTATTGTTTTTTTTATTTTTATTACAAAAATTCCTGCCATAATTTAATAGCAAAAAACATAAATATTTAATAGTGTAATAAATCTCAAAGGCATTAATTAAAATACTTACCTTTTAAGAACGCACTATTCAGTTGCATTCTTTAAGTATTTAGAATACGTGACTTTAAACATAGCGTTTAAAATTAACATATGAGCATATAATTAACATAACATAACTTATAATTATTCAACCGAGTTTGTGGTGTGACCGTTTCATGTGTTTGTATATTTAAGTATAAATATTAAAATGGTGCAAACATTCAATAATAGAAAGAAATAGAAATACTTACATACATACGTTTGATCTGGTAAATAAACATCTTGCATGTCATTGTCCTTCCTAACAACGGATAGTTTGAACAAACCCTTATTCTCACTAGGCTCTTCAGCGGTAGCTTGTGGCGGTGTTTGATCACATTTCACCAGCTTACATTGTACCTGTGCTGTGTACAACACTAGCCAATATACACAACTGTAAGAAAATTTAGAGTTATTTTAACAAATTAGATAAACAATTTTGCGGCTTATCAATAGAGATATTACATATAATTTTCAACACAGCTATAAGTAGCTTAATGGAGATTTTAATTCAATAAATGGTTAGGCTTATCGCTTAGTGACATTCGAATATTTAATTATGTCTGTCCTATTACGCATAATTCTATAATTTAAATCTAACAATGATTTGTTTACTTGTTAAAAGCGTTACTCATATTTTTTAAATGTAAAAATCTTGCACCTCAGACTACTATTGCAAAGGAATTAAGTACAGTTCATTGGGACATAGAAAGGAATTTCTAAGAAGGTTATTATTGAGTACAAAACATTTTAGAGCATCATATAATTAGTAAAGGCAAGTAACTTTGCCGGGAGGAAATGTTTGTGCTAAGATCTGAGAAGTACAAGTTTTGATTAGTTCGGAGAGTCCGCTTCATTTCGTTTGTTTGTTAAAGGGGTCATTGGTGTACCACTTTAGTTGGCACGTAGGGTAGAAGAGTACTGTTGTTCTCCACGTGCCAAATTTAATTTTATATATGTATGGTTTGATAATTCGAATTCTAATTGGGAAAGCTCATCATGAATTTGTGAGAACGCCCGCGACTGGAAGTAAACTGCCTTCAGTACACGAACAAATCTTATACAAATCGATGTCGTTATAAATAAGTTCTTGCATTTGTTACACAAATATTCGTGATATTCCACAGTTATAGCATACATTTTCTTATATTTGGTTAAGTAATTGCTAAAGACCTTGAAGATTGTAGTCCTTACCATGATCATGAGTGTAAAGAACTCGTAATAGTATCACAAATAGAACGAAAAATGCTTTCATTATGGTTGTATGTCAACACTAATTTGAAGCGCTACTGGCATACTTTACTGGCATAATGTAAACTAGGCTTTAATTGCAATTGATAAAATAAACAAAAGATGAATGATTCAAAGCATGAAAATAATACATTAAAAACCAAAAAGCACCCCGACAATACGCGGCTGCTTTCAAAGTTTATACATGATTAATTTTTCAGTGCAACTCCTCATAAAGCTCGTAAATTGAAAAATCCAGTGAAGCTGACCCAGATTTTACTTAATACACGACACTTTTCGGCGAACGGCCGTAGTTTGGGATACTGTGCCTATTCATACCTGGTAGGTTTATAATTAATGCATGGAAATATAACAGTCTCTTTAAAAAACACCAGCTTTACTCTAACAAATCTATTGAAAAAAGCAACTGAAATTTATATTATATCTGCAATGCCTCCGTCGTTTTGTTGTACTTAAAACAAGCTGTTGCTCGCGACTTAGTCCGCGCAAAATTAAAAGAATAAAAAACATATAAATTACTTTTCTAATAGTGAAAGAATTTTTAAAATCGGCCGAGCATTTTTTTTTTATTTTATCATCACATTGCTTTCCGTATGAGTACTTATTGACTAGCTTACACGCAACTTCGTCCACGTGAAATTAAAAAATGTAGCCTATGTTACCCAACGATGACGTAGCTTCTTAATGGTGAAAGAATTTCTGAAATCGGTCTAGAAGTTTTTTTACATACTTCAGTACATACAACAATAAAGAACTTTCCCCTTTATAATATTAGTAATATAACAAGCCTACGCATAAAAATGTTTCAATAGCCATGAATTGTCAAAATTCCGCACTCGTTGCTAGAGTCACGGTAAAAAAAGTGTTGACTTATGTTTGAGGCAAAATAAATTAATAACATTATGTTATTTTTGTATGGTAAAACCTCTAATACTTTAATATAACTAACATCAGTTTAAAACAGAACACAGGACCCAGTAAATCGTATAAGTTGATACTCTAACCTAGTTACGTCACGATATTTTAAAAATGTACTTATATTTACACAATATAATTTTAAATTGCAATGCAAGTTCGTATGCGCTGTACGTACGAAGTACGAGTACTATCAAGTAGTGAGATTACAAAGAAACTCTTTTCTTTATTTGATACAACTGCGCTCAGCTCGGACTAGAAACATAATTAGAACGTAAGACGAACTCTGTACCCTGTTCTTAAGATTTCTTTATTAATGATAAAGCCCTACTAATTATCACGACCTGTTTTTTAACGTGACATTTAAAACTCTAAAATCTTCCTATATATTTACAGAATATTTAGTCTTTTGATTAGAAAAGAATCGGGGTAAAAATCACGTTAGTGGTATCCAGCGGCATCAACATCTGTTGCACGAATGGGTCGGCTTACCCGATGAAATACTATACGGAAGAAAGGCTTCAAGTAGAAGTAATTCCGCATTTCGTCTGATGCGTGTGCGTTCCGGAGACCTAATATTTGGTCCCCGTTTCCTTATCCCTTTCTTTTATCAAATCAATGGCAAGGGAAGTGGATTTGATGGAAAAAGACACATGTAAAGGGTAAAAATCCCCTTTCTACGAGTCCCATGTCTCTTTTCTTGTTTTTCTCTCTCTTGACTCGTCCCTGTTTCTCTTAGCATCAAGTGAACTAATATATGGTAATAAGTTTTCAACTAATCCAACCATTTAAGATTATTATTAATAAAAACTCAATATTAAATGTAGCTATTAATATATCACTTAATTACCTTCGTGTTGTCACAAATTTAAATTAATTAAATTTGGGGTCACTTTAACCTCTGACCTGTTACTATTTTAAATTTGAAGTTAATGTCTTTAGTAAGAACATTTGACATTGACTTGGGTTAACTACATTTTAATGTCATTATTTAATTAAGTACATTTTAAAAGTAATTTGAGATTGAATTAAGTTGCTAGATCTTTTAAATTTCTCAAACAATTTCGAACTCAAATTTCGGGTTCAATAATTCGGTTCAAAAAATACTTCTTTACTTTGAAATGTTTCATTTTACGCAAAAAGACAAAAATTACATTCCGAATATTCTGTAATTTACATTTTATCTTTAAAATTATAAAGAGTAAAGTCTGATTGTTTGTTTTTTTTTGTATTGACTAAGCTCAGAAACTTTTGGACCGATTGTAAAAATTACTTCGACTTCCAGAAAGTCACATAAACAGGAAGGGTATGGATATGACAGAAAATATTTAGATACGTATATTCTTTGCCACCCAGGCGAACCTGGAGGAGATCGCTAGTTCAACATAACATAATATTATTAACAAATCATACCAAAAAAATTACATCTCAGAGCTACATAATTCTATCGTCTGTCTTCAAGATTTTATTGGTGTTAATAAAGTTGACTTATATTTTAAATGAAAATTGCCTCTTCACCTACCATACTGCTTGGTAATATACGATTATTTAAAACTACATATCTAGGTTTTTAATATGTAAATGCGTTCGACATTGAAGTAGTAAATATTCCTTTTTCAATTTTTTAACCATAAACAAAACAATTCTATACATACGTTAAACACAATATTGACGTTTGCATTGTCCTTTTCCCGCCAACTGATATCTGACGTAGTTACACTAAATTTCCACAGAAACTAATATTAAAAAACTTAGACCGCAACTGGAAAATATTCTTTTTTTTTAACCAAATATATCAGAATAAATTCAATATGAAGCAATTTTGTTGGTTATCGCGGCGTCAACTAAACGCGGTCTACTCAAAATAAACCAGACGCGTTTGTCTGGCATTATGCCAGGCTAGAGGCGCCATATTGACATTTTGCGGTGGGAAGACCAAGACTAAATTATAAAACTAAAGTTGTTCCATATTGTTTCTTAGTTGGAAATTCAAAACAACGAAACAGCACAGTAAGATATATTTCGAATTCAATTATTTTGTTACTATATCAAACTCAACATACACCCATAACTCATATGATTAAGCAGAGACGGACCATCATTTAGCGCGGTCTGGACACAACTTCTTTGGTTTGGGGTGTAGGCTTGGGTCACACAAATTTGCACTCCATCGAGCCTACTGTTATGAGACATGCCAGAGGGAAAGGTGTGCCTTACTACTACGGACGTTTTGACCTTTTAGTTTGCTATGAGAGCCTGGTGTTAATGTTGTGTCTCGTTTTCCAACGAAGCTTTTGCTGCAACATTAACAACAGGCTCTCAGCTTTTGACAGAAAGACAGTACGTTTTGCAGCCAGTTTAATATAAACACTAATTACTCATCAACAACGAAGCAGATTAAATTCCAAATGGATATATTTGCATCAATTAACACGCTTTATACACAGATTTATTTCTATGCTCATCTAACAACAGACCAGTGAAATTACAACATTTGTTGCGGTAAAGTGAAAATATTTCACGTCCTCAAAGAATGAAGGCGTAAAGTATAGTATTTTACAATACCTGCGAAAGTGACTTGAAGGACTCCTAATCTTATACCTTTATAAAAATATTAGGAAGGGGCTAATAAACGTATGAAAGATGTCTATCACGCTCTGAAGTTGGTAAAAAACATACCTAAGTTCACTTATTTTCACAAAGCTGATTTTCACATATGTGTTGCAAACCACTGTAATATTAACTAAACAAATATTGGCAGACAATTTCCGTGGGCCGTTTTTGAAGACTGAAGATTTAAAGTTGCCAACAATTTGACTAAATTTTTTTTTTCTAATGCTTGATTTTTATATATTATACTCAGGGGCCTATAACAATACCCCCTGCAAGAAGGCAGACGTTTCTGATGGGGCAAACGGCGTCCTAAAACTAGTGTGTTTTTTTACCAACTTCAGAGCGTGATAGCCCCATTGGAGGATGGGATAACAACTAAGGGCCATTCAGCTAGATCACAAACGAGTACTATCTAATCATATAACAGCAAAGTTTTAGAATATAAGTGTCGTCATCCTGGTCTGGGATCTCAATCTAGAAGCTTTACAGTTTTTTATAGACTATCATAAAACCTAAACAGGTGATAACACGATTTCAAATATTAAAAAATAGACACAAAAATAGACAATAAACAAAGTAAGTTGAGAGAATGGCGTCCCTGTAAAGTATGCAGTTGGTATTCTCCCGAGGTCGGGCGCCTCTTGCACTTTATGCTTTTGAATTCTAACCTCTTTAAGTAGAAAAGCCAATGCGCATTCTCGGTTCAACAGATAAAGCATTCCTTTCAGAATACTAACAACTGATTTTTGTACCTTTATGTTTCTACAGGGAAATAAGAGGGGTGCAAATAGAAATCATTTCGTCCAACTTTTACAAGTTAGCATTTGAGATTTTAAATTACTAAATCATAACCTAAATTGATTACATCAATATTTAACATGCATTATAAACTTTCAAATATTTTCTCTCCCTCAATCAGATGTCGTGTCTTGAATAGACCCAATTATAATTAAATAAAATTAAATCAGAGACAGAACATAATGCATTCAACTAAGTAATTTATTTAACCTCCTTTTAATACAAACCTACACTACAAATGTTAAATTTGTTGGAGTTTTTACATGTTTGTATACTAGCAGGCAACACTGTACACACAAAAGATGGTTTTTAATATTAGAATAATATATTTTAAATTATAAAGAATTGTATATTTGATGTTTTTATAAATGACTTCACATCTCGACGCCTACCAAGAAACATAGTAGGACTTATAGAATAGAATTTGTATAAAATATGATTTTGATATTATAAATACAATGATGATTAACTAGACGAAGAAAGTGTTTCAATAGCCCCACACCTCCAGAGCCCCGGACGGAGAAGAGTAACCGTCCAACAAAATTTTATTTAATTAACTAGAAAAGGATGTTTAACAATATGTTTACGGGGCACATAGCTCAGGCACAAAAAGACTGAGACAACTCATTAAAATGTCTTCAAGACGCGTCGTTTCATTTGTATGCTATCGCGTCATTAGTGTAGATGTACTCATGGCGCATTTAACGTTTCTGTTCCTATAACCGTGTGTTTACACTGTCCACTCACTTGTTACAAACTTGTTCTCATCTCTTTCATTATCTTGGACTAAACAAAGACGGCAATAATATCAATACAAGTATGACAGCAATCGTATTAATACAAAAACAACAGGAACTGATAAATGAATACTACGCTACTATGCACTTCTTGATTATTTCATTCTTCTGAACATTCTTTTGGGACGATCACAACAAACATTCAAATCCTTTCTTTTTCTTCTTTCATACGTCGACGATAAGATAAGATCATTTACAATAGTTAACTATAAGAAAAATATATGTAAAAATGTAAACACAATGAATTAGGTAAAGTGACAGCCAGACACATAAATCAAATAAATAAATATACTGTGAGAGGTACTGAAAAAAATAGAAAATGTAATTTCCCTTTACAATTTCGATTAGGATCATTGGCCAAGAAATATAATATATTGATGTAGTTATGTGTGACCCTCGATATATCTCATACTAAAACTACACTAAGTAAGGCAACTTGTTGACTAAGTGCGCAGGTTCTCCAAAGCTTTTACTATTGCCCATGTGTCGGTTTTAGCCATCCCTTTATGTCTAGCGTCTTGGGTTGTCACCTAACCGCGCACTGCTCAAAAGCTAGTATTGCCCATTGGAGTGTTATGCTCACGAAATATAAAATGAAATAAGGGAATATTAAAAAGTTTGTTATTATTTGGAAATATCTACATAACCTCTATTTACAAATGTAAAAAGTTTGTAAATTATTCAAATCACTGAAGTTACTTAAACTTTTCTTATTGACAGTGCGATTCGAAAGCTCCCCAGAGGCCTGACCTAAACTTTTGAAGGTGAAATGAATGTTACCTTCAAAGTATACTGACAGTAAGGTGCAAAAATAAAAAATCTACATTTTTTTCCAGTAAATAAAACACTCAGGTTGCATTAAAAAATTCCAAAATTGTCATATTATTTTGGAATTTCGAAATGTAATTCTGATTGATATATTTGCACTGTGTGTGCTAGTTAAAAGTTTTCATCAAAAATAATGGGTTTTAAAAATTAGGAAGATACAAGTGCTTGTATTTGTCAAATTAAATTGAAAAAAATCTTAACATTTGATTCGAAAAGAAAACATCTTACGAATTGTTTGTTTAGACATTTGGCCGTGGCCGGGAAGATTGAAAACGTAAAGCTAAAAAGGTTGAAAAGATGACCTTACCTTGACTTGTTTAGCGAGATAAAACTTTTTCAGCTGAAAGGGAACATATGAAGATGACTTGTTTACTCTCACAAATGCTCCTTATTCTAGCTTTCCACTGTAAACACACTTGTATATAACGCCCTATAATCCCTCTATATTTCACTGCATTTGTTATATTAGGTTCCGTATTGATCTGTACAAACCACACCGGTTCGACACATTTGGTAGCCAACATATAGTTTAAATTACGCGGCATCGTTGTTGCGGGTAACCGGAGGCTTTTTTATTCTCCGACACTAGTGGGTAGTTTGGAATCCCTCTCCAGTACGATCGGGCGAACATAGACGGTGCATACTGGTGCATCAGACAGCGTCGCTGGCGCCCTGAGACTTGACAGAAGTAAGCCTGACTAGATTAACACCGACACCAGATACCTGCAGGGTGTGAGGCGTGTATCAAGTAGGTAAGTACTACTATATCTTCCATCATCCCCTTGTTAACAATATTAAGCCCTCTGGTGCAAAGTGGGTAGTTTAAAATTAGGTTGTGCGGCGGGACCTGAACACGTTTTGAGCGGCACAAATGTACATAATCAAAAAGTAGGCTATAAAATTTAATAAGAAATAAATAGTCTTTATTAAACAAATTGATTTATAAAATAGAAAATTTTAAGTGAACATTTTCTTATTATAAAATAGAAAAATTTCATCTTATTCGATTCTTGCATACAACGTCTTTTATATGAAAATTCCTCGGATTCTGAATTCAGTGTCCATAGTAGAAAGTTAACTGACCTAACCGCATGACTGTGGTATAACACTCTCCGTATTTTTGACCGACTTCCCAAAAGAAGGAGGTATTCAATTCGTCGGTATATTTTTTTTTTTATTTTTTTTTTTATGTGTGTTACGGCATAACT